TCCTTGGCTTCATAAGCAGTCTTAGGGCTGTATTTGACAACAATTTCTAAGAAAAAATAGACATATCCTATTAAAAATTTACTATGGTCTTCCTCCATTAAACAGGTGTTTACAACTCAGATGCATTCAGGAGTATCTGTTTTGGTTATATCAACTTTTAAGTATGTATTTCAGTGAGTGGAGCTTTTGTATAGTCTGACTCAGGGGAATGAATTCCATCACACTGTGAAAATAAGGCTGAAGTATTTTATGGTAGGTGCTGAAGAGGTGACGCTGAAGACCACGCTGTAGATGCTAAATTCTACAGATACCTGACTAGATCAGCTTCACCTTCAAGCTGAAGATAAAAAAGCAGTGAAGATTATGGTACAATCTGAACTAACCTCTAAGCTAAATATGCCTCCATAATTATAAAAATGAAAATTTTAGGTTAATTCAAATTTATTCAAATTTTTTTGTTTTGAGTCTGATAAATATTTTTTATTGGCTGGTTTCTTTCATATGTATATATATATATATTAAAAATATTAACATTGGTCCTGCAAGCAAGCCTATTCAGGAAATTTGAGGATGGTCTTGACTCCTCTGGAGCACTGTGGTCTGGGAAATACACCTAGGACACCACCAGGTGTCCTAGGACACCACCACCCATTACACACCTTGTATGTAGCTTGCTCCTCAATCCATATTTTTACCTTGGTGATAATTAATCTTCTTTTGCTATTATGAATTGAAGCTCTGGAAACGTGTTGGATTTACACCTGCCTTTGTAGCCATTTGTCCAGCCAGACTTCCACCCAGCCAGCCTCATGGAAAGAATACTGCTTTTTCTGGGAAAGAAAAACTGCATGTGGTAAAATCCCACCACAGATATGAACCTGACATTTCTCTGTGTGCTGATTAATTACAATTTATAGTCTGAATTGTCAGGATCTTCAGTGCAGGTTACTCTGTTTAGTGAGGCAAAATCAGCTGGGAACACAGGAAGACTTTTGCAGAGGGGAGAATGGGATTCATAGACAACACAAGAATGATGTTTTCCAAAGAAGGAGAAATGTTAGCTTCAAGGATGGAGAAAGGAGCCAGGATATGATGATGCAGCACCTCCTGCTATATCCACTACACACACAGTGTAATTTCCCCTCAGATGCCTGATGCTCCTACCACAGCGTGTCTTACTGCATTAGTGGTTGCACTTATGTGACCACAGGGTTTGGCTGATGACCTTTACTCACAGAAACACCAGTAGCAATTTATAAACCCTTTTACAGCCCTGTTAAGGGGCTTTGCTGGAGGATTCTGCAGCCAGAGAGATCCTCCCTGCCAAGTACTAAAGGCCTGTGACAAAAAGAAGTAGAAAGCCTGTTCCAGACAATAGCTGTGAACAATAACAACAGAGATTAGTAAGAAACTTAAAGATATACGCCACTTTTAGCTTATTCAGTGAATTACATGAAGAATACTTTTAGCTACAGTGTAGTCATTTTTCCCTGAAACAGGTCACAGACAAAGGGCACCCACAATTTCTGGTGCGAGTGTCAGGGCATGAAACAAAGTACCATGTGATAGGGAGGTTCATAGCAATAGCCCATACAAATGAAAACAGATTATTCTTCCTCTTAGGACTGTTACCCTAAAATGAAGTGGCCAAACCCTTCCTTTCAGTGCTATTTTATGTGGCTGAAGGATAATGAGATCCCCATTTACCTAAAGGTTTCTCACCTGCAAAATTCTGTGTCAGTTCTGAATTAATTCCACTGGGAGTACTGATGTCCCTTCCTCACTGGCTTTCCAGCTCCTTCCTCAGTCTATCCAACAGGACTAAGGAACCTTAAGTTTTGATAGTTTGGGGCTTAGGGCTGCCATTTCTTCTTGTGGTCACCTCAACTCATCTAATTGATGCTTATTAGCTTTTCTGTAGTTATCTTGAAGCAAAATCTGTAGCCCACTTGAAAACTGCAGCATTCTCTCTTGAAACTTGATAATTATGTATCAGACCTGAAATTACCACCTATCGTATCCTGCAGTCTTTCCCAGCACGTGATTCTGCTGCAATGTCTCTGGGAACACCTCCTTGCTGAGTAACTGGTAGGGTACTTGCTAACAGAGTGGTGAATAATGGTGCTGACATTACTAATAGTCCTCCTTAATCTCCCCCTTGCTTAAAATGCTGGCATCCCTGGAGGGGTGCTATGGCTCAACACCCAACACCAACACCACTCAAGCCAAATTGAGATCACATGTACCCTCTCCTCTTCTCCCTCAGGACAGCCAAACTAACTGGACTGGATTCCAAACTGGAAACACCAGCTCAGATATTTCTCAAAGGAAATCTGTTGTCCCTAAAGTCTTACAGAAACTTCATCAACTTTTTTGCACACACAGATAAATGCAAAAATGAAGTAAGAGCTATAAACTGAATTATAATATTTTTCAGGAAGAATTTCTTATTATATTAATAAAAAATTATTGTTGGCTCTTTAATGATTAACTGGGTTATTGAAGTCCTTCTATTACCATAATAAGGCAAGAGGCTGAAACCTCTAAAAGCAAAGAGACTCAGCAGTTTGAGTAGATGTATTCTTGGTCATTATTTCCCATTTAATATATAACACAATTTCTTTTCTATCAAATAGCTCAAAAATTTATATAAGGCAAGCATTATGTCATTGATTTATCTCAATTCTATATTATAGGTCTTTTGGGAAAGTGTGGTTTTGCATTTACACTAGTGATTAATATTTTCATGCCTGCCCAGGTTAGTGTTAGTAGGGTTTGCCTTTCTAGATGGCAGAGCAGGAGAACAGTTTCTCATACACAGTAAAGTTCCAAACAAGCATGGAACCAGTAGTCCTCTACCAGGTAATCTGCCAAGAGGATGTAAATATATGATATCTCTACAAAAAAAAAAAAGAAAAAAAGAAAAAGAAAATGTTTATTCACCTCTATTTATCTTATGTACCTTAAGCAAAATTGCTTATGTAATACAAATGTCTGGTATCTTTCATTAGAAGAGCTCAAACTCTCCTCTTTGACTAAAGAAAAACAGAAGGAGTTGAGCTTCCCAATTGGGACACTTCTTTCAGTGATGGTAAAAAAAAAAAGCCAACCACTCTTACTCACTCCTTCATGATCCTAAATAAAATTTCTCCCTTAGTGCAATTATGAGCCTTATGTCTTTTATTTCATAGGTTTCCTCCATATATCTTGTACCTTAGCTGATGTCTTTCATTATCCTTCCTTTTCAGGTGAGCCTTACTGCCCATTGACTCAATTAGAGACTAATATATATATACATATGTATATATATTAAATCAGCACCGTTTTTGGCATTTTTCCTCAGGATTATGTAATAGAATGCCTTATTTCAAGAAAAAAAAGAAGTTCCTTTCAAAACATTTCCAAAATTATTATTTCAGAATATAGATCAGAAATTATTTCAGAAAAGTAGTAAAAAGAATATTGATTTTATTTAATCTAAAAATATGTTCTCTGTCTAAAGGTAAACTTGTAATTTCTACTCCCTCTACAGCCAGTCAGGAACAATACATCTCTCAGTAGTGTGCTTTAAATGAGTTACATTCTGGATATGCCTGATTCTCTGTTTTGTTATCAAGGGAATCTACATAGCTAGGTTAGTGTTAAAATGCCCACATTTGGATTAGAGAAATGACATCCATAGAAGTTAATGAAAGAACAACTTGATGTTTTGAAACTTCTTCAAGGCAGCATGATCAGATCTGTGTTAATCTCTGTGAACACTGTATTTCAAAATCATTTGGGTCTCTCTCTCAGTCACCCAAGGACAAGCAGACGAAAAAATTATAAGTGATCATTGAAAAATTCTGCTATTTACCAGAAAGTCTCCTTACTAAATAGAGTAAATGGAAAATTTTGAATTGAAGAGATACATTTCTTTTGAATTTACTATCAGATGTTTGCAGCCAGTTTTGACTTGCTCCCACCCACGGGTTGAAGGTTCTTTAGGCACACAAAGCCCAACCGAAACTCACAGAATTACTTCAAAGAAAAGCAGCACTTGCAATTTTTCTCATGCAAATAAAAGACTACAGAGATAACAAACCACGTGTCTGTTTGCTGAGTGTTCTTTTGCAACCATTGCTTATCTGAGAAAAAGCAGCTGAGGATGATAAAGTCCTAGAATTCCTGACAATAGGTGAGATGAAGGCAGCTGGACAGTTTCACTTTTGTTGGAGTATAACTTAAACACCACTTTTATCACTGGAGGCATGGCCTTTGTGTTCCCTTTGGAGTCTACTGGATCAGGGAGGTATAATAGGAGACCTTAAAACTTTATATAATGATGACCATTTCTACACAAGACAAACCAGTACTAAAAGTACAGCTCTCCAGGTGCTATGTGGCCTGAAGACAGGCTCATCTGGCTATCTCCAACACTCTTATGACCTGAAGGCTGCAGGCAGTTGTCCCAAGGCCAAAAGACAAAGCTGACAACAGCAGCACCAGCAGCATGTCACTGCTGCTCCTTTGTCAGTGCCTGGAGTCCTCCTCAGAATACCTCACACACAGCCTGTGCATGTGTTGAGGTGAGATCTCTGCCACTTCTGGCCCTTCTTTACCCAAAGGAACTGGGCTGGGAAAGGGAAGCTGACAGCTAGTAAGAAACACGGACACAGAAAATTTTATAGTGCAACTGTACAATCAGTATTATAGCACTTCAACCATTTGGAAGTGTGTACATATGTCATGGACAGCACGGATTTGGACATTTCCCAAATGTTTCCAATCTAAATGGACTAGATTGGTTCCTCTTAAACATCTGGTGGTGCTCCCAGTATCCCACAGAGAGGACAGAGCATTGCTCACAGCTGCTAGTCTGGCAACTCCACGTCAGGGTCATGGCTGGGAAAGGGAAGGGAGACAAAGGCTTGTGTGTCTGAGTCAGCCTTTTTGTCCAGCCCTCACCTTTGGCAATAAAAGCCCTGCAGCCACAATCACCTGGGTCACAAGCCTTCACAATGTGGCCCCACTTTGGCATACGTGCTCTTCTGGTAGTGACTGTCATCCTGAGTCCTCTGCCTGCCAGGGCACAGAGTGAAAATGATGTCACTGGAGAAGATCTCTATCCCCCTGTGTGGGACCTGGCCCCTGGAAACCTGCTAGATTTCCCAGTAAAGGACAACAAAATTGTTATCAGTGCTTGGAACTATCAAGATCGACTGGGAGTGTACAAGAGCTTGCTAAGTGCTTCAGCCAAATATTTTGATGCCTTTGGACCCCAAAACAGTGGCAATATTCTCTGGGGATTACCATTGCAGCATGGGTGGCAATTTCGTACAGGTATGAATTATTTCCTTAAGATGCTGGCTTAGCAAAGGGTTTACCAGACCTGCTTAGAGGCTTCCTTTCCAAAGTTTCTGCCCCACAAGCACAGTATGGCCTCAGACAGTGTAAACTTTGACAGAGATGCCAACTTGAAAAAGAAATGCTGAGTGAACACCCTTACCTTGCTGAGAAATAGTTATTAAAATTCCTTATAGGAAGAGGTCAGAATCCAGATTTGTGGTATATTTCAGCTGAAATATTGCCCACAATATTTCAGCTAACTAAAATATTTGGAAAGGCATTCCCAGTTGCTTCAATTTATGTAGACAGATTTCAGGGCATGCATTCTACAATGATGTTCTTAAATTGTTAACTAATAGGCTTTTATTTTTGTTAATGTTACAAGCTTCTAGAGGTCATTTGAGTTTTAGTTCTAAGACACATCTCCCTCTGAGAACTTGTTTCCATTTATTCTTCATGATCTGTTTAGAAGTAGCCTCCTTATTTTCTAAATATTTATTTCTAAATGTTTTTTAACCTTTAGAATTAATTAATTCTAAATGTTAAAATTAATGTAATTTTTACATTAATTTTTGTAAAAAACATTTATTTCTAAATGTTTTTTACAAAACTTGAAGTTTTTTCTGTTTGTTGGGGTTCTTTTTGTTTGCTTGATTGTGGGGTTTTTTTGGTTATTTTATTTTGTTTTGTTTTAAATTATGTCCACATTCTAAGGGTTTATCCCCTAAAAGCTGGTTGTTGTCTAGGGGCACTCATTCTGGTTTGCTTGTTGTCCCTGCCAGGGGAGCAGACACAGAAACACATGTGAAAGGTTCCTTAAGGCTAAGGCCACAATATCTTATCAGGGGTAAACAAATGCATCTGACTGCCTGTTGTTTTCTTTATTGGATGTAACCCATTGTTACATGTGGTGGTGGTTTGGGTGACACTGAAGTTTTGAGAGAAGACGGAGATCCTGCACCTGGTGGTGAAGGAAGGCTGCCAGCATTTAGTCACACCTCATGGAAAATGTACTCCTAAGTCAAAATGAGGGAAACAAGATAGTACACAAAATACAAGCAGGAAACTAGCTGGAAAACAGCTCAAGTTTGGTTGGAGTTTAGGCAAACTTTTTCCTCTTTCCCTTCTTTATGTATACAAAAAGAAGAGCAGATGAAAGGGATGGCTGGTACAGCAGGAGAATTGACCCAATGTGTGGCAGAGGCAAAGATGCAGCAGCTACAGTTGAGTGGTGACCTGCTGGAAAGGAGGAGTTATGGAGTATGGCCTCATCCACAAAGTGAGGATGTGCCTTCTTGTAGTGACAACTTCCAAGTAGAGACAAGGGACATAGTTTGTCAGGGAACATTTGCCCCTGGTTGCATAGACAGGTAATGTCCTGTCACCTGCTTAAAGAGTCATAGGACTGACACTTAGATAAATTTTTTAATTTACATGACCAGAAGATTTAAAAAAATACTAAAAGGAGAAATATCACATAGTTGGAAGTAGTTTTACAGTAAAAAAAAAGTGAGCATTTGAAAGATAAATGGAAGGGAGAAAGAATAACATAATTCTGGTGCATACAGTAATGAGGTTAGCAAGGGCTAAACCTAATCCAGATAGGCAGTGTGATAGGTTAGTGATAAATGACTGAAGCATTTGTATATCAACATAATAAGCTTGGGCAAACAAAAGCAGGATTTGAGTTCATGGTGCAAGACAACAGAACTTTGAAAATATTACAAAATTTGTTGAATTAACAGTTCTGTCTTGTCCTGAAAGCTATGTTACTGAGAGAATATTTTTATGGATACGGTTCTGTATAAACCATGAAGAACAAATGAAGCTATTACTTAATAAGAGTGGCACGAAGAGTTGTGATAATCCACTCAGGGACATAAAATTAAATCAGTATTTTGCCTAAATTTACAGCAGAGAAAAGGATCTTGAGACAGCATGGCTATTAGGAGTGAGATTGTGGAAGCAGAAATTGTCACTTGGGAGGTAAAGCTAAACTGAAGGTCCTATCTAGAGAAACTGAGGAAACAGGATAGACTCTATACTCCCTTCATATACAGAAGTCCAAATCCAGGATCAAGAACTTTAAGAATTATTCACATGGTATTGTATGTCTGAAGAGCAGGAAAGATTGTGCCTGTACTGAAGAAGAAAAAAGGAGATAAGAACAGATATTTATTTGTCTTATATCAGTAGTAAACAAGACATCAGAATAAGTATAGAGGAAAGAATAATGACATGGAACCAGATGGACAAAGGGATAAAGCACAGGTTATGTGAATCAAAGGTAAATTGTTTCAGGCTAATTTGATATCTTCTTTTGTCATACAAATGTTGGGGTTTTTTTCAAAAAGAAATGCATAAATGCATTTACTCCCTTTTACAGTACAAGGGAACTGCAAATCTGGTAAAGGAACACCTGAGGGAGAATTTAGCGATAACTGCTGCTAAAAGAAGTATAGGGCTAAGTGGAGGATGTGCTAGGAGTTCCTCATCAGCATGAGAATAACTACGTTTAGCACTTTCAGTAACAACATTTCCACAAAAACAACTACAACAAAACCCCCACAAAACAACAACAACAACAACAACAACAAAAGACAACAACAAAAAAAAAGGGTGGAGAAATCTTGCTGATGAGGTTTCATATAGTTATTGATAACACAGCTGGGAGGTACTGTCAATACAGATTAGCTTGGGTAGACCTGGAGACTGAAATAACAATTGTGTTAAGCACAGGGAATAGGAGGAAGCAGAGACAACAAAAATGGTGTGGACACCTGTAAGTGCAGTTAATGCTTTCAGTTCCAATTTCTATCTTATAATTATCACTGATACTGCCTGGGAAATCTTCATTTTCCTGAAACACCAAGGCTAACAATATTTGGTTAGCCTCATGTACAATTCTTTTGCAACATTTTGTCTTTTTCTTCTTAGCCTTTATCCTTCCCATTCATCCTCTTTGCACACCAGTGATCTATTGCTGCCTATTTTTGACAGTCTGTTGAAGTAAAATCTTGAAAAATTGAATCTTTCTGTAGATATTAAAAATTATAATCTTCATTTTAAAAAATGGGTTGAACTGCAACCCTCATTACTGCAAGTTTGTGTTCTCAGTGCTTGGCTACTGAAAGATACAGGTTTGAGTAACTAGCATGCCCCAAAGCAAAAGCAGTCTTCTGCCCAGTCAGCTAGGGAGAATAATTAGGATAATTTGTATGCACATTGTTCATGATCATCTCTTCTTCTTGAGTGTAAATATCAGAAAATTTGGTTTGGTAATGCGGTTTAGTTCTAATGTGGCAGAAATGACGCTGCCATTATTCAGCTGACTCGTCAGAGAGCAAGTGGTCTGCAGGGCAGTTTGGGAGCTTCTGGAATAGCTCAAGTCATTGCACAAGGCCGTGGTAATTGCATGCCATGCACTTAAAGCAGACTTCCTGACACGGCATGACAACACTTAATGTACATGTATGGTATTCTTTTAGGACTTAAGCTATTTCTTCATGCCACGTGCTCAAAGTAAAATATTCTCTCATGAATAATTACGAAATGTCTTGCATGTTTTCTACAGCACAGATGCTTGCAAACTTTGCTAATTAGTTACAGTAACGTTTGCATGCTTAGCTACACAGTAAGGCTACATTTGTCTGCATGATTAAGCTGGAAGTGATTCTGTATCACACAACCCAATTAGGTGAGGCAATTACTGGTACATTTAGTTTGTGCTATTTTGCTTGTTGAGCAGCTCTCCTGAACTAGCAGCCCTACATCTATTAGAAATGATGCTTCAGCCATGCATGTGCTCATGTCTGCATGTGAATGTATATTTAAATCTCACTAAAAATACTGCGATGTCCTGATTTCAAACAGTTCAATAAATTCACAGAATATATTTACAGTGAGGGATAGCTCAAAATGTAAAACACAATCAAATTACTATGCAATGAGAAACTCAACTACTCTAGGACATTAGTTTATGAAGCAAAGTAACAGTGATTGTTTTGCTTCTCTAACCAAAAATCTGCATGCTTTATTCCTTAATCTTTTTTTCATCTCAGTGGGATTTCTTGTGTGAAATTTTGGGAAGTATTTGTCGAATTATTTCATTTGATTCATTTAGGCAGGTTAGCAGATCCTTCTGGTGTGACTTCCTGTGGCTATGAAAATGGAGAGCTCCTGTGCCAATCTGTAAGAAGCTGGTGGTCCTGTAAGTATATGCTGTCACACTGTTCTTCTCCAAAATAAATTAGTGTCCTTGAAGGACATCTGAAAATATTTCTTCCCCTTAGACTTCTCTATTGCATTATAATTTCAGTGCTATGTAATTCTCCATCACAAACTTGCAGCAAGACACCTAAGTGTGAGTGGGTAAATGAAAGTTAATTGATTTTGAATACTTACTTGAGGAAGGAGAAAAAAACCCCAACAAGTTTGCAGCCTTAAAAATATTTATACTGCAAATATTCATGTGAAAATATGAGGGAAACACCCTGACAGGTATACATATTTGTAAATATTTGTAGATATTTGCAGTTTACAATTAGTCCAGAGCAGATTTCTTCAGTTCAGATGCTTGCACTTCAAACTAAAACTTTGTGAGAAAATATCAAGCAGGAATCTTTGTGGTTCTTATACCATCCTTGGTTCTTTTTCCCTTAGCATATTTTCCCTCCATCACTTCTGTCCCTTGCTCCCTCAGCTTCCTTGATGCCCTGTTGTAAGTTCCTCTTTTCCCCAGACCTGGCAGTAGGTTTGAGCAAGCAGATCTCTCCCTTCCCTGTCACAGGAATGTTTTTCCTTCAGGGGCCATTTGGATTAAGCTTCTGGCTGTGAATCAGCAGTTAAATGTATATATCTTCAAGTGAACAAAGACATAAGCATAGATAAAATTTAAAATGTAAATCTAGGGTAAAACTGACTGTGGCATTCACTTCAGTTTTGGTTTTCCCTCTCTGTGTTTGGATAGCACTAGTGCTCTGTGGGATGGTGTCCCACACAGTGTCAAGTAAAAAGAGTTGCTGCACAGCCCTTTGTAAGCAGGGGACCTTCCTGGAATAGAATCTACCACTTTTACTTTGTCAGTGTTTGAATTCCTGTTCTTCATTTACTTCTAAATATTGCATGTTTGCTTGATACCCATTTTGTTGCCTCCAGAAAATGTATAAACTCAGCTTTGATTTACCCTATTGAAGCAAGAGCATGCAGAGTCTTTGAGACTGCATGGAAACATCTCAGTGTTCTGAGGATATGAAAGCTTTCAGCTGACCTTCAGAGCAGCCCTCTCTAGCACAAGTAGTCACATGAAACCAGGATTGAGTTTAAACCAGAAACTCACATTTAATATACCTTGGGTGTATGGGATACTAACTGCTTAAGAACATCAGTCTCTTTGCCTAGAATAATATTCAGTATAGTCCTGTCCTGCATTTTTTTATGCCCTCTAAGTCACCCAAGCAGGTGCAAATATATAATATAGGCAAGAACACTTAAAAGAATATAAGCACTTTGTGATGTGGATCAAGTTTTCAAATATTTCTCATGAAAACAGTGAACAAGAAGCAAGAGACAGTTCAGCAATGAGTCTCAGTGAAACACTGTCTTCTCATCACTTTAGAGTTTTCCTTTGCTCTTCTGACTAGCCAGACATTTCCTCCTGAATTCCCAACCAGGTCCACACTTAGGAACTGTGTCACATGAGTTTCTCTTTATATATAACCCTTTATCTTTGCTCCATCAGCACCCCCAGAGAAGTTGAAACCCTTGTGCCTGACCAGCCTGTCAGTGCCCCATTATGGGGACCCCACCAAACAATCCACTCAGAGCATGGTTTGACCAACCCGTGTAGGGTCACAAACCAACAATGTTCCTACTTAGAGTTGGTAGATATTTCCAGTTTTGTCAAGTATGTTATCTGCTTCTGGCCACTCCTCCCTTAGTGCCCTTCAAGGACTCACACTAAACAGCGTACTGAATAACACACTTTATTAACAAACACACTGATAATCGAACACTGTGACAGGTTAAGGTTCAGAGATTGCTGTTGACAGTAACTGATTGCAAAAATGCATTTGAAGCAATATATTGACCAATTCTAATCACCAATTAAAGCTGGCTAGAGATAATAATTTAGCTTGCACAGAATGAGGTTCTTACCCAATAGGCATCCCTTTGGGGGAAGAAGACAAGTTCAGCTTGTTGACTGATCCCAGATTATGATGGAGTCTTTTCTGACCTCCCTCCCCACTTTAGCTAGATTTATATTGCTTCCTTTGAGGGAAGAGAAAAGGTTAAGTTACAGTTGGTGACATTTCATGTTGATGTGGTGCTTGAGTCATTAGTATATGTAGAGAAAAGCAAGATGTGTTTTTGAGCTAATGAAGCAAAGGCCAGCTTCTGGTTACTGTCGGGTTCATTCCTTGGGCTTAGTTCCTGCTAGCTGCATGTTTTCAGTGGAGCATAACCACAACATCGCTCTGTTGCTCCATCCTTTGTTTCATATCTGTGTCAATTTTGACAGACCATGACCACAGCACCTCCATGCTGCTCTGTCCTTCATTAACATCTCATGCTTAGAGCAATACACCAAGTTCCCTCAGTATCCCTGCTCCTAAGGTGTGCAGACCCAGTCCCTGCTGAACTGCAGCCAACACACACACTCCTTCTTTGTGAATTTTGTTTTGTGATTTTCACCCATAAGGTGGAGCGATGGCTTCCCATTAGTAGGACATGGATACATGGTAGGTGTTCAGGTTTTGATGATTTTGGTCCTCACTGCTGGGATTTCATACAAAACATCAGTGCAGTCCGTGTCCCTGAGACCATGCATAGGCAAATGACTTCTCAGCATAACAGCTCAGAGGTGCCCACCCAAGAGGGAGAACAACAGATCCACAGGGTTTTCTTCACTCAAAACTATTGAACTTCATTTCTACAAAGGGGACACAATTAAGAGGAGAACTTCAGATTCTCCTATGAAGAGAGGAATATCAAATAGCCCTGTGGGCACTCTCATGGGACAAGATTTCGCACCAGTGAGAACTGAGCCTGAGTTTCCTACATTCTGTGTCTGACTCCTCCAACTTATGGAGCAGACCAAAGAAAGCCATCATCATTAAATAAATCTAAACAGATAAACTGAGGTAATATCAAGCAATTTTCAGTGAGTGAAATATTTTTTAGAAGCAAAATTATTATTTTCCAGTAAAATATCACATTTCCCTTTCTCATAGGTCTAGGGTATATAGAAGAGGTTTTTTTAATAGCAACAACACTTGTGGAATTCCCCTTAGTCTTTCTGTACTTAGTTTTCAATTAGTATTAGAGAGACTTTTCTTGCCCTGTCCATGACAACCTACAAGGTCTAACTTTTTTCCATTAGCTTTTTTCCTTTCCTGTAAAGTAAAACACAGTGGAAGCTCATAAAAGGCTCTTAAAGGACAATGCATAAATGATCACTACAAATCATATCTAAATCAATACAAGGGTCATCTTTATTACATTTCAGTACATATATTCCACTGCTGAACACAGTTGTATTTGTGGTATTTCAAACAGTTGCATTTGGTGTGGGAGAGAGAGCTCATTTTCTTATGTGAGAATTTTTCATTCGCTTGTGATTAACACCTGCTGTCTTTTAATTGTTGTTACAGGTATGAATTACTATCTCTCTATTATACCCTTTCTGGGGGCAGTGGAGGCTGGCCTCTTTGGGCAGCTGCCATATGAGATAGAAATATTGCCACCAGGGGAGCAAAAAGATGACTTCTGTTACAGCGTTAAAGACTGCTGGTCTCGCATGCCCAAGCTCATGGATGACTGGAAAGCCTTTTTTGAAGTAAATAATTTTTTAAAAATGTTTTTTGAAATTATACCAAAATATTAGCTTTAAAAACTATTGTTCCTGTCATTTTTTAAGATTCAGAGAGCTTAGTTTGTTTTCAATAGCAGCTTCATGTAAAAATGAAGCAGGAAAAATGGAAAGCATAACATACAGTGAGTCAGAAATAAGTAGGACAGGATTTTTAAAAGTTATAGAATTTTTCTCTTCTTTTGAGACAGTTCTGTATTTTGGCCTCTGTTCCAAGACACTGTTTTGCATTCAGTTATATTTGTATTCTTCCAATACTGCTTATCTTAGCAATGCAAAATGAGCCTGTGAGATGGAACACTGCCCTTAAAAAGTGGCCTTTGGTTGGTTTTATAAGGTTTGTTTATTTCTTTAAACATCTAAAACTTAAAAATGCTGAAACATCATTCAGAGGTACACCTATTTATGCAAGGAGACATTCTCTTTCCTTCTCACTCCGCTGTTGTCTAATCCCAAAAATAACAATATTTCTTACTTCATAGATTTAATGGCTATTTTTTATAGCTAGACTACTGCAGTCAATATTTTTTATTGGTAGTCAACTGATAATGAGCAGGAATGTTAAACTGTAAGTCCCCCTTGTGAGTGAAAGAAGTTGTTTAAGATTAAGACTGGATCTGTCTTCATAAGAACATTTTTTCCATACATCATGTTTCAGAAGTTATTGTAAAATATCTACTCCTCATATAACTATAATGATAACAAGGATAATTTTCTTCTTTTTCTGAAAATCTTCAGAAAGTTGTGGTTAAAAGAATATAGATAAGTTTTTTAAGATAATAAGGAGTCCCCTATTTTAGTACTGAATATGAATAAAACCCTTGCAATGCTGAAGTCGAAAAACAGCAGCTATCACTAGCTATACAAATGCAATTTCCTTTAACTTATTATTTTGTGAGGTATGTGCTGATATATAAAAAAAAATGTTTAAACCTCCCCTCTCATTTTATGCCCCTTTTTCTCCCTGTTGCTGCAGTATCTGCTATCTACAGAACTCAAAACTGTCAGCTCTGCCAGCCTCTCCTCCTTCAAACTGGACGATGCCCTTGGCCTCATGTGGAAGGCACACACCTCCTCCATTGCTTACGCACTCCCCAAATTCCATGACAGGTAAGGGGAATAGAGCAGTGTCCATGGAGCATCTTTCCACCTCCAGACCTCTTTGGAAGGATGGTATCCTAACAAAGTCTGCATGAGCCCTTGTACTGACACTGTCATATTTTCTGAAAAATCCCTTTGCCAGGATTTCTTCTCCTGGGGAGATGAGAAGCCTCAGAGAAAAATGAAAACGATAATTATCTGATTTGCTTCTCCTGTGTTTTGCTGCTTTGGAATGTGGTTTGGAGATTGTTTATCAACTGGTCATTGTTTGATTGGTTTCATGTGAATTTTTTTGACTTAATGACCAATCATGGTCCAGCTGTGTCGGGACTCTGGAAGGGTCACGGGTTTTTCATTATTATCTTTTAGCCTTCTGTCTGTAACCTTTCTCTATTCTTTAGTATAGTTTAGTATAGCATTCTATAATATCATATCATAAAATAATAAATTAGCCTTCTAAGAATATGGAGTCAGATTCATCTTTCCTCCCCACAACAGAAGACCATGGAAATGCCACACTCATACCTTAGGCATCTACTCCATAGGCTCTGCTCTTCCTTCCCCTCTCTCAGAGTGTGGGATGACCAGTGAGAGATGGCTGCCCAAACTGTGATGACCAGTCAGGCTCTGGGCTTAAAATGAGATGCTGGTTCCCCTCTGGGAGCCAGGGCCTGGTTCAGGAGCTGTGTTTAATCTGGGAAGAGGCAGAGTTGCCAAAAGAAATTGGGTATAAAGTACTTAAGGAGGCTTCAAGTCACAGTGGCGCTGAGGCCACTCAGGATTTTATACTGAACAAAAACCTTTGGGATAAATGATGAACTAGTGTGTTCTACAGGAGAATTCTGCTATCTGCTGCATTTTTTATTTTCTTCTCTTTCAGCTTAAAATATCTCTCTGATCCAGAAGCAAATTTTGGTGAAGACTGGGCTAATGCTGTAGATTTCATTGCTGCCACACACTTCAGTACAGACTTACTGACCACAAACGACTTCCAGACTTTCCTGCCCCAGAGGATGCTTGTTGAAGGGGATGTTCTCCCATCCATTAGTGACTTCAGTCCAGGGCAAAATAAGGTTCTGGTGTCACTGAGAGCTCTTCACAAAGTAAATAAAATAACAGGTATGACCTTCACCTACAGATGTCTGTTGTCCATAGATATTAATATCTTGTTCTCTCTACATACCTTTCTCCATATGAATACAGTGAATGTTTGATATAAAGTAGTATAAATCTTAGAGACTAAGGAGTAATTGTTTTATTGGTAGTGTCTATAAGATGTATACTACTTTATAGTAGTATACATCTTAGAGACTAACAGTAAAACAATTAAAATACAACCATAAGCAAACAATGCACCAGACAGCAAATGCTGGTGGGATAACACTGACAATATGAGGGATTTCAGTGAGAAAAAACCCCAAAACATTATGGGAGCAGATAATCTTACTCTCTTTTCCCAGTTTTCACAGGAACTTTAAAAACAGAGATGTTTTTTGTTTTTCACCAGTTGAATCTGAAACAATTATAACTGTAAATGAAATTATTATACCAGTTGAATAAGAACAAACAAACAAAAAGTAAATTATCATAAGCAACAGTTTTTGTGTCCACAAGTGTTCTGGTTTCAGTTTTTGGTTCTCTCTTGGTCTTTGATTTATCAGAGATCTGTCCCAGCAAAACTATCCCTAGTCAATGCTGACTTTATCATATTCACCAAAATAAGTCGTACATCACCATCCAGTGGTGCAACATAGAATTACACTCTCCAGGGATTCAGTTCTTTCATAGATCCTTCTGGGCTGGCTATTTTTGTTTAACCTTTATGAAGCAAAGTTATTTTGAATCTTTAAATTAAAATAGAATGTAAAAATACACTGAAAAATTGGCATGCCTAGCTATGGCACTTGTGATCCTCTTCTATCCATACATTTCACTGAAAATTCTCTCTCCAGTTGGATTTAAAGCTGAAAAAGATGTGAAATAAAGCTATTCAGTGCTACAAAAGAGCATCTTCCCATCACAGAGTGCTTCCCTCACATTTTTCATGCAGCATTATTTTAGGAATCTGAATAAGGGTCTGAACAGATCTATTGCTTGCTTGGCAGCCTATGACACAGTTCAGGGTTTCTTGACATACCTCCAGGAAAGGAGAGGAGCACAGCAAGGAAAAGCATGACCAGAAGGACAGGAAGGAGGGTCGAGAGCACCAGGGTAGCACATCAGGTGAGGAAAGCCCTGCAGGGAGAGAGGGAAGGATGTATGGATGCTGAACATCGTAAGTGGAAGGAGATAGAGAGATAAGCTTCATGCAGGTGGAGCCATAATGAATCCCATAGCTGAAATCCCTTGCTTTTCAGGGGAAAGATTTCCCTGACTTTGCTCTAAGGGATGAGATTTGAATTCAGTTGCCACCTAACTCAGCCTGGTAACTGATTTGCAGATCAGAAAAAGGAGCTTTAAAATAAATTTGACTGCATCAAAATCCACAGCTTCAGCAGGGACCCGAAAGACCCTACCTTAGTGCTACAAAGCACAGGTGACAAAACAGACTGTTTTTGTAGATGCTTTTAAATACATCTTGTGAGAGACAGGGTTCTCTACTGGTACTGCAAACTTCAACAGCAGATAGAGGGCCTTACTTCCTCCTAGGACGGGACCCTGTCCAAACCAGAGTGAGATTTGATTTCTTGATTCAGAGTTTGATTACTCCTTATTTTTGTTCAGTTGCCCCCGCTAGTCCAGCAGGAACTGTAATGAGAGTTGTGCTGCTTCTAAAGCTTTTCTACCCATAGACTGTCAGATCAACTTTTTACCCAAAAGCAGATAGGAGGAGAATAAATTCTTCTTACAGTAGACATTTTTACCCTCATATTTCCCCTCTATCCACTCCAAAGGTGAGCACTCACTGGGGTGAGGAGTAGGCAGTGGCTATCCTGCAAACCGGTGCTGATGCTAGGCTGGCTTGGCCAAGCCACACGTCCTAGAGAGCTACTGCTTATCACCTGGACTTAAGTATTTGGATCATTTCCTTCTTTAGCTTGATGTCTTAGCTGGCAGAAAGTGACCACTCTTAGTTTTAGAGTGAAAATGAAGACGAGTCTGACTATAACTCCCAGGCCATTGCTCCATAAACCACGGAGCTACGTGCCAGAGCAGACAAAGACCCTCCCATAAATCTTCAATCATTTCGATCTGCAACACTGGTCACACGGGAGCAAGCCCCGTTGTCTTTCAATACAAAGGATCCTGAGCTGAATGAGTGCTCTGCGTCTCCCTGCACATTTGTAGGCAATTATCACCCCCTCGGCAAGCTCCAGCTTTGTCTACAATTCTCTGTCCCCAGCAGAGTGTGGAGTGCTTGTTGCCAGACGCGCACTTGGTCCCTGGTACGCTGCGAGCTGCATGCGCTCCATGCTAATTTGCCAATGTCATGTTGTGTTTCCTTCCAAGGAGGATTGGTGCTGAAGATCTGGCAAAAGGCTATGTCCACCGAAGCAGGAAGAAGAATAGGCCGAGAACTGATTGAAAGCTTGCCTTCCGGCCAGAAGCTCGAGCTACTTGACCTAATAGGAATTTAGAATTATTGGGAAGGACATGATTTGAAAGTTCCCAGTTCCTTGAGAAAGAGCGCTTCCAAGGTGGATTGATTTAATCTATTAGCGGACATGTGTCTGGTAGTCTGGCCTTGGTAATTTCTTACAGCAGGATTTCCTGAGTAGCCATGCATGTCTCTCTCTCATATAGAATCAATATTTTTAACCTTAATTTTCCTATCTCATTTGATAACTCAATTCCTTATAAATAAAAAAAACCTCACAGAAAAATTTTACTTTACTACTTTTTGTGGCCTTATAAATAATATATCATATTTGGAGACAAAATTAAAATCAGGCAAAATATATTTGGTTTCAGACTGTTTTTTTTTTTCCTGTAGGCAGGGATTCCACTAGATATGTAATTACTTGATCATCTAACAGATGATCAGAAGAAACTTTTTTTTGAAGTTCTGATCCAAAAGACTTGACTGTCAAATCTCAAGGCTGATAAGTCAAATGCCTTGATTGTTTCCCACCAAAGCTGCTATTTTGCAGAGCAGCTGCAATCAAACTGGAAGCTTTCAGGCTTTTCAGATTAGGTACTTGAGTACAGATAGATTCCCTTGCTATGCTGTTTTGCAACAAGTACATGCCTCACGTGGTAGAGCAGAGCCAGACCAGAGCAGTCCTGAAGCAAATTAATTTATTCCGTACCAGCTTTTGTGTGACAGCAGAGATTTCTTGTACTTGATTCATTTCACTTTCTTCAAGAAAACTTTGATCTAGATATGAATTTATGTGATTGTGTGCCCTGTAGAACCACAGGTTGCTTTTCCATTCCCCCATGTCTGATCCACTTGTTGCAGTGTGTCATATGTTGGATTTGGTTACTGAGGAAGAGCTGTATTTGCAATGTTTGCACTCCCAGTGCCTGGAACACTCAGACCCAAGAGTTGATCCCAGTCTTCAGGGTGATAACACACATTTGGAATCGGTTATAACTTGAAAACAGAGGTTGTGGGGAGGTGAGTCAGGGCTCCTGCATGCAGACAGGGCTTGAGGTTTCTTGGGAAATGAATGAAAGTTGTCTTTGCCCACAGCAGTTGGCTTGGAACTAGATGACCTTTCAGGTCCCTTCCAATCCAAATCCTTCTGCAATTCTATGAAAAGAAATAAATTCTTGCCATTCCATTTTCCTGGTTTGATTTGTCCTTTCTCCCCAAACTTGCATGATATTTGCACTGTAAATTAAGAAATAATTATCGTCACATATAGCAGTTAAACACCATTCTGTCCTCTAATGTCCCAGGACAAAGGTGTTAATTATTCATTGTCATGTAATGGATAAACTCTTAATGTACCATCATTAGCTAACAATTTTCAAAGGAAATACATTAATGAGGTATAAGAAAATGTGGGAGTTTTTACCTTAATTACCTGGTTCATAGATCACAGTAATTAGATTCCAGCATACTTTAGATATAATCCAAAAGTAATCACCACAGCTGCCAGCTGCTAAATATTAAGTTAGTTGTGCTCCAGAAAAGTTAGAAAAAATTTTTTGACCTTTTCTGTAGTTAACTTAGATTGAACTTAAGGTACGCTTTGAGAAAACAAAAAGAGTCATTAATACAAACTTTTAAACTGCACACTGCTGCACTTGAGGGAGTCTTTATAAAACACATTTTTAAAAAGCAATTTAGTCCTTACCTGAATTTATGAAACATTAGGAAATAGTCCCAAATTTTGAAAAAGAGTAATTTTTCTTAATACAGCATCAAGCATTCCTGTATTTCATACACTTTGTCCTAATCCAACAAGACAACCAGTCAGATGAAGACTTTAGAAATTGGCCAGTGATTGCTCTGTGGAAGCTGAGGAATGTATAAAAGTTTAGGCAAAATATGGGATGGGGGTTTCTTACAAGTAGAGTAGAGCCAGTTATCTTGAAATAGAATAGCTGCATACTCACAGGAAAACTTAAATCAGAAACTAAACTTAAATCAGAAAAAACTTAAATCAGAAACTTTTCTCTAGAGAGAAAAGCATCAAGAGAAAGCTGTGGAGGTGTGGTAGGGTGGATTTGGAGAGGAATGGGAGAGCAGTGAAGGAGCCTGCTTGCAAAGAAGAGCTAGCAAAAGCTGATGACTCCCTAAGCAGGGGTTTGCCCAGTGAGAAGAGCTCACAAAGTGTAAAGGTTTTTCCTGCTCAGCATTAGTCTGGGGTTTGCTGCTCTCTTCTCGTGTCTTTTACACATGTAGTCTCTCTAATGAGGAATGACTGGCATTAAGTAGGGCTTTTTCCTATTTGACAGAGGTGGTGTTTAAAATAAGCAAAGCCACAGTTGGCTTTGGAAAGACAGGGGGTTAAACTTCTATACACACTTGCAAATGGCAAGCCTAAGGGGATTGGAACAAGCAACGTTTGGGTGTGAAGGAGGGAAGTTTAGAAATGAAATGTGGTACATGATAAAGGAGGAACTTGGGAAAATGTAAACACACCAGAAAAGAACCTGTCCATCCTCAAAACTTGGGCAATAGTGCTGAATACTGAGCAGTCCCCTCTCCACAGCTCATATTAGTCAGGTCAGCTCCTTCTTTCTGAGACTGTGCAGTTTTCAGTGCCTTTGCTACAGGAGTGATCACATTTCTGAGGGGTGGTCAGAAGTGAGATTCTTGTCCTTGTCCATATATTTGCAACTGGGCACACAGCTGCTGTGCCTTACCAAATACTGTCCTAAATTTACATCACAGAAATACATAAGGGCTGACCTCTCCACCTGTCCTTCCATAAGGGGAATGGCAACCTTGTGCTTCTCTGGGAAAGGTACCTGTGTCTTTGCAGAACGGCAGACAGGTGTCAGCAGGCACTTCTTTAGCTTTCTTAGGCATCAAGACATGGACCTCACAGGGCAAACACCCAAGGTAGTCATCAGCAAAGATGCCAAAAAACTCTTTTTTCTTTCAAGTAGGAATTGGATTTCTAGGTTTTCCCTTCCTTATGATCCTAATCTATGGAGAATTGGGCGTTCCTTTCCAGCCTACGCTCTCTAATGAATAATAAAGTGCTTTTTTTTCTGGTGGGAAAAATCACACCTGGCAAGTGTGGAGGGAAGGGCATTCTTGCCCAAGGCAGCCTCTAATGTGGCAGATAGGAGGTTTTGCAGGGAAGCAGAAGATGTAGATTTGGACTCTGACAGATAGAAACAAAACTAACCTAATGTAAGTATTCTAACTGCTGTGCACAGCATTAAAAACCCTCTGCATTTCTCAAACACAAATTGTTCAGTTACTTTTTCTGAACAAGGCATTTTATCTGCTCCTCTCAGCAGGGTGTTGGAGGCTGTGGAAGTTCCTGCCACCAAAAGCAGTGAGATTCAAGATGATGGGGACCTGTTATAACATTTCCGTCACCTTAACCTCAGTGACGTCAGGAGGAGCGCGTTTCCTCTCTGGCTTTGATATAATTTAAAAATATGAATGTCCTTGTAGATCTGAGTCTAAGCTTATTATGGATTTAATTCTCTTTTTTACAATGAGATACAATGACCATGAGGTATTTTGAGAACTTTGCGCATGGCACAAACTGCTGCAGGCAAGGGCTGTCAAGGATCCCTAGGAGGGTGTTGGGGAGCCTGGGGCTGCAGACCTGCCTAACTGCACCAGCTGGAAAGGGCTGCTCAGTTGGGAAGCATTTACAGTGCCTCAAAATGGGGTTCAGAGGATGAGGAATGGAGGCAGAATAATGTAAACATTTGTTAGAAGACATTTATACATATTTAAAACATGAGTAGAAAAAAATATGGTAATGTAAAAATGTTTTTTAACTGATTAATGCCTAATCAAACTTTCCAGGACAGAAAGAGCAATAGAATAAAATCCTTAATGTTTCTCACTTAGTTCTGCAAACTGTTAGTAGCTGCGGGAAAATTTTCATGAACTGTTTGTGTGTGTGTTTGCAGGAAAGGGCTGCAGCAGGTATGGTGAACAGATAGTGGCAGTATAAACCAGGCTTCTGGACTAGTAAAGTCATTTCAGAATGAAAGGCTCTTTCTACCTCTCCTTTTGTGTGTCATTAGGTCCCAAAATACTAACAGATGTGACCACTGAACCTAAGAGAGCAGGCAGCTGAAATAAGAGGAAAAAAGGAAAAGAATCTTTTTGCTGACAAAGTAGCTGCAGTGCCCCACGTGGGGCAATCCTGAGCCCCACTCAGATCCTTCCTCTGCTCTATGAGAACCAGAGGAATTACAGAAGGGTGATGTATTTGCAATAAAGGAAAATCATAACATCTAAAACTGCCCTGGGAAGAGGTACTGCTTTCTGAGGCTGGCCTGAGCCTCTGGTTGCCAGCACTGCTGCATCTAGAGCCTCAGGGACAGTGTCACAGAGACATGGGGATAAGGAACAGGGATGTACCAGCATTTCTTAGATCCTGGTGGAATCAGCCCCTTGACACACCATGCAAATGTTCCCACATACACCCAAATGTTAACAAACAGGAGGGATTTAAGGTTACATGATAAAATTAAAAGGGTCAGACTGAGCTATCCATCCTGGTACCCCCACTCTGGACAGAGCTGGCAGCAGTGGACTGGGGCAAGAGCAGCAAAGGCAAGGTAAAGGCAGGGTAACCTCTCCTTCTACTCGGCCTGCCAGCAGCTGGCAGTCTGCACTTACATCACGCCCATATGGTTTATCAGTTCCAGAGGAAAAGAGTTGTGAAAGGTTATCTTAGATAATACAAAAACCCAAGAAAAGATACAGAATAAGTTTATCAAAGAGATTTATTATTGCAAAGCACAAGAACACTCCCAGCACACAGATACATTAAGAAAACAAAGGAGGAAAACAAAAAAACCCCCAAACAAACAGCAAAACCTGCCACTTATACATGAAGTAGAAGCAAGAGAACATTCTCTTCAGAGACTATCAGTTTTAACATGGTGTCAGGAAGTTGAAAATTTACATGGTAAAGGTGCATCAAAGTCTAAAAATGTAAGGAAAACACCTGGACAGTCTTAGAAGGGGGAGGAAAGATAT